AGGGGGAGATAAAATTACAGAAAATAGAGATAAAGAAAGAGGAAAGAAGAAAAAATAAGAGGGGGAAATGAGAAAAAAGAAAGGGAGAGAAAAAGGCAGAACAAAGAAAAGGAGGGACAGAAGGAGAACAGATGAAAGTAAAGCAGAAGGAATGAGATCAAGAGAAAGATAAGAGAAGGACAAAGGGAGAAAAAAGAGAAAATAATAAAAATATAAAGTGACGGAACAGAGGAGAGAGGGAGTGGGAGAAAAAGAGCCACACCCAAAAAGAGAACAAGAGGGAAAGAAAGAGAGACAGCAGGAGAGATGGAGAGTCAGGACCATAAAGGACATCAGGAGTCATACCCAGCTGATTTCTACATAGGTCAGACCTCAGCTCAACCCCTTGCCAGCTGCTGACAGTCCCTTCCAGTTCTTTTTCTTTTTGGAGCTCTCCCAGCAGAGTCCCACACTCAGCAAGTCCTTCACTCAACACAAAGCTGAAGGCCACAGAAAACTTGTTTCCAGCAACAGGTTTTCTCACTCACAGCCAGTTCCTCTGATGTATTCAGCAGACACTGAATATAACAGCAGAGACAAATTAGGTTCCTCTGGAAGGACATCCTGTTTTATTAGATAAAGCTGTGACAGCTTTATCTAATAGTGCTTGTAAGAAAAAAGATATGCATCCACTATCCACCCCCAATTTTGACTAGACAATCAAGTTTCCACTTAGCAAATTACCAACATAGGTGTCAGCATTCTGACTTTTGTATGAAATGGGATTAAACTGAAACAGTATTTGATGTGGGGAAAGCTTGGATACTGTAAAGATTCCAATTTTTACTGGTCTTCTACCAGTAAAGCCCTTACTGGGTTTGTCACACGTGGAATAGCTGCACTTCATCCCATGTTTCCTGCTGGCACCCTGTTAAAAAGGTAAAGACATGCTGCAATATTTCATCCTCTTACTGTACTATAGCAAGTTTATCTAAAATTTAAGCTGCTGTGTGTTTTATTTATTTTCACAAGCATTTAATGTTTCACTATCCATTGTCTCTGGGATTTTTTCCAGGCTGGAAGAGTAAAGATTCAGTCCCTAAACTGGTTGCTGACTACATGAATAAAAAATTTGTTCTGGATCCATTAATAACCCACACGCTTCCTTTAACACAAATCAATGAAGGATTTGATCTGCTGAGGACAGGGAAGAGGTAAACATTGTTTCATTGTAAATATGCATGCAGTTCAGCACAGTAAAGATTCTGTATAAATAGCTTAAAGGAGCTGTACATTAAGACAGAGCCTGACTTAATGGCAGAGAATGGGGAAGGCAGCCCACTACGCCCTTTAATCTCTCCCAGTGTGTGCCCGTCGGTTGCAGCCATGACGATAAAGCCAGCAAACCTTCAGCTTTTGGAATGCAGTGGGCCCTGGCCTTCCTTTCCGGGGTGAGAGTGAGAAAAAACAACGCAAATGAGGAAATCTTTGCCCACTGCCCATTGGAAAAGAGCACACAGCCAAGGGAACGTGGGAATGCCAAGCTGCAGAGTGCCAGGGGTTAGCTACGTCATGTTCCAAGAAACATTTCAGGATGAGGAGCAGGAACACAGTAAGAGCCTATGTTTACTGTGAGCAACTCACCATTCCTCTTGTGAGTTATGTAATAGTCCCAGTGCAATTGGTTCTGAAGTCTCTGGGTACTCTACCTTGAACTTCAGAGCTTTTCAAAAAGGAAAGTATTTGTGTATATATACATTACAAAATCAGAATTTAGCTCTTGTGCATTCCTCAAATATTGTGAAAGTTCAGCTCAGAAGCTGCTTTCATAGGGTATTGAAATCGGGAATATTTTTTGCCAAAGACATTTGACAAGGTTCACCATGGGAATTCAAAATTGTCCTTAGCAGAAGTAGGAAATACTTTTGTATACCTTAGTGTGTGGGGACAACCCTTTTTGAAAGTTCTAGGTGTTTATAATTTACATAGTCTGGGGAATTACCTTCATGTTTCCTTTTAATTGTTGTTTTCTAGCAGTTATTTTGTGTGTTACTTGCTCTGAATAGAAAAAAGCATGTTACAGAAGAGTTTAAGGCCCTGAGGTTTTTCTCAGGCTCTAACGATGCAGCACACACTTCATTTTATGATTGTCCTTATTTTAGATGTATTATAAATGTTAGTTTTAGCTTTTAGTGTAACAAATTGGAAAGTGGTGAGGACAGAGATGCCATCAGCTTTGCTAGAATACTGATAGTCAACCTGAAGACAGAGGCACATTGCAGCTGATCAGTTTTTCACTGAAGTGAAATACTTCAGTGTTTCAGCACAGAATAAGTTGTACCAGTCCGAGGTTACCCTTACAGCCATTTGTAATTGGAAAAGTGGATCTAAGCCCCCCCTCCCAAGAACTTCCCAGGCTATAGTTGGTAATTAAATACCAGGAGCCCTGGGCCTCATCAGTGAAGGCTTTGCAGTCTTATGTGAATTTTGTTCTCTGCGTCTGCAGCCAGGTTTGCACATCTACTCTGTCATTTTGCTGCAAGCTGGGACGGGGGGGCAGGCAGGGAGGGAATACCCTGGTTGACAGCAGTAGCCTAGATAATCAGAGGAAACAGCAGTGTTCTGCTGATGTTAGCTCAGGGCTTTTCTACAGTCACTAACTTGCCATTTTGTATTGCAGTATTCGCACTGTCCTGAAGTTTTAGGATTCTTTGATGTTAAGCAGCAGATGACTCAGCACCAGTACAAACTTCACCATCCTCCAATACAACTGATATGAAATACAAATAAAGATATTCCTGAAAGGTCTACCACCACCATCCTTGAATAAAAGGATCAAGCTCAAACTCCACACTTGAAGCCCAACATTTATAAATGAAATAATCTTTTTCCATCTATCTCCTTCTCCTCATTCTTGTTTTAAATCCTCTACATTGTGCTGTAATTTTTTAATAGCCAGTTATGAATTACAGAACTTGCTGCTGCCACAGGTGCTATAAAAATTTTGATTTTTTAGAATTGCTTATAATACGCAATCTTTTAATAAAATAAAAATGAAGAAAAGAGGGCTTCCATAACACCACAAGCTTAAGAGACTTGTGCATGCAGTTCAGCACAGTAAAACTTTTAAGTTAGAACTGAACGACTTTAGCATTCCAGTGCCTGGCAGGCAAGGAAATTACTGCAGAAATTAAAATTTATGGTGACCATGTGTTTGAGTTAATAATTTCAGTAAATGATATTTAAGTAAATCACAGACTTAAGTACTGAAGAATGTCTCACCACTGGATATTTTAGCAAATTAACACCTCCAAACATTTTCTGTAAAACTGCTGTGGTGGTGTTCTGTGTTGTGGTTTGTCTTTGGTGGGTTTTGTTGTTTTATTTTCTTTACCTTTCTTGGGATTGTTTTAGTTGTTGATCAGTACAGTTTTAGATCTTTGGCCAGTTTATACAAGTGCATCTGATGTTTGGGAAACACTGTGAAGAAATAAGAATGTGCCTCAAATATTTGGTTTTGTTTCCATTATATAAAAGGGAGGTTTCTTAACCTCTTGAGTGTGAATACGAAGTAAAGGGGGAAAAGCAGGTGACTGGTAACAGTTTGCAACAACTCAAACATAAAGCATCTTGCTGCTTTCTGCATTTGCAATGTGTAAACAGGAATAGAGGCTATTTCTCTCTTGGCAAATATGGTCAACGTTGACTTATCTTTTGAAAGGACTAATCAGAGCTTGCAGGCACTCCATGCGTGGCAGCTGGGTAGAAGAGTCTGTGAAGTAAGGGGACTCTGTGCTGATGGTGAGTTACTTGTTTGTGTCAGCAGAGTCTTTTTGCTGCTCAGCTAGTTTAATGAGTTGAGGACAAAGTTTACCAAGAGATTAGACTTTAACAGAATAAGATCCTTCAACTTGTGAATAAACAAAATTTACACTATTGAGACCTGAACTTCAGTCTTCAGAGTAGAAGAGGAAAAAAAATAGAGCTAGAGAATAAATTTAAACAAACCTCATTTCTGTGCTCTTCGGGATGATGCAAAGCCCATTTTTGTTGCTGTAATCTGCCAAGCATAGTAAACACCGACTGTTAGTATCTTTACTAGGATAGTTGCTAGTGTCCAAAACAATAAACATTAAATCATTCTCCTTAGGGACATTCTATAAGGCAGCCGTCTAGTTCTGTCTTCACATGGAGGAATGAAATGTTTTCTGACTAGAGAACAACAAAAAGTTCATACTTACTTCCCCTAGAGTATTTTGCCCTGCAGATCCTCATCAACACTCAGCTGAAGATCAGTTTGTTTGTGTGATTGTACAGCATGGACAGAAGGTTTCTGTCCATGTTTCCTAATGGCTCTCTGGCTCTGAGGTACTCCAGGTGGGTTCAGGGCAACATACAGCAACTGTGCTACACAGATACCTGGGAGACAACAAGCCTGTGTTTTTGTTCAAGGGTTATCACATCTTTGGAGAAGTGAAAAAATTTTTTCTCTTACAGATACATAAATCATAAGTCATGACAGATTTATTTATTTATTAATGCAGCAGGCAGGCCAGGCTGAATATTGACCACCTTAAAAACTTCATTCTAAAACTCTTTATTCCTGGGAAATTATACATCACCAGCATTCATGGTCTGATTGAGGCTACAAAAAGTGTGCAAACAATGTATGAAAAAGTAGAAATTTCATGGAAAAAAATGGTAGATGTCCCTGTTCACCTGAAATACAGATCAAAATGATCCACAAGTGCATGTCGGCTCCAGTGCCAACTGCTCATCTCCAAGACAGGAGCATGGCAGCACCTGGCCATCACCCCTAGAGGTTGGGCTTGACCAGCTGTGCCAAGAGGCAATTCCATGTGGCTGGAACTGCTGTCACACCACAGGGCCACCATGCTCTGTGCAAGAGCTCATCCAGCTGCTGGGGCACAGTAGTGCAGCTGGGCTGCATTGGTGAAGCTGGAGATGGGTTAGGGAACTTGAGATTTGGGGGCTCGACTTGCCAACAGCTGCTGCTGACCTTCCCCCTCGGCCCATGAAGCGGGATTGGGACACAAGGTGGCAAGCGCCAACACAAACCTCTGTGTGCAGTACCCTGAACACAGAAATGTGGGGCTGACGTCTTCCCAAATGCAGAAGCAGTTCCCAAACACAAATGCTGCTCCTCTCAGCGTGGCTCTCCAACAAGAAGACTTATTCTTACTCATCCATTCTCCTGTAAATCATGTTGTCCAATGCCTCAGCAGAAAACAGCTCTGTGGGAACCAGGAGAGCCTGGGGAGAGTGAACCACTCATGGACCATGTTACATATCAGTGAAACAAATGTGTCCTTGGAAAAAATCACTTTCTAAGATACTGTCCCTTACTACTCAGGTGAAAAGTGCTGCAACAGCACAGACAGTAGAACTTCACTCCAGAAGCACATGAGTGTTTGTACATCACATCGTGTTTTCACTACCGTTTTTCTTTTCTTTTTTTTTTTTTCCTTTGAATTTTTAATCCTTTAGCAAATACCTTGGTGTGAATGGCCACCAGGTCAAATGCTCTGCCTTGGCAACAAGGGGACTCCAAGGAAGCCCCAGCAGTGCTGCCAATCTCCTCGCTCCACACCTGCCAGAAAGCAACTGGAGAGAAAAAAACCTTCCTATGGTCTCTGTGCCTTTCAGGCAGGGAGACCAGAGAATGGCCCAAGGGCAGTCACTGATAAAAGTACCCCTGAAGGACTTCTGCCCTCATCCATCTCCCAGCCACTGTCCAACTCCTCCCCTCAGCACTCCCTGTGCTCCTCAGCTTCCAATATCTGACACAGATTAACCAGAGCTCTCCAGTGACGGTGCCACACACAGAGTTCTCCAGCTCCACAGCTGGGGGACTTCACAACACAGAGCTTCAGCCAGACAGGCAGCAGCTTCCCTCCAGCCTGATACAGCAACGGGAACACCTCTGCTAAGACCACATGGCCACGTCGGGAAAAGTAAGGACAATGCCTTTCCCATCTTCCTTTCCCTGCTGCCCTGCTCTTGGGGAAATACTCTGCCATGGCTCAGTCTGTGCACTGCTACTGCATGCCCTCTCTCCTCTCACCTGCCTCTCCCAGCTCTTCCAAACCCCTTGGAATTACACGAGCTTCTGCTTTCCGACAACTGCACCTGTCAGTACGTGCCTTAGGTAGTGCATTTCTCCTCTGTCCTGCCCACCAGCTCAGGAATGAGATCCTGACTTGTACTGCTCTGGAAAACACCCTCCTGCTCAATCCCACTCTGTGCTCCTGCTTTGGCAAGAAACGTACCTCTTCAGTGGTGCCACCTTGCAGCCACTCCTCTCCTGCATTCAACTTGTCCATGGCAATACCCTTTGAATCTGCAAACTCCATTTTGCTGACGTCAAACCAGGTTTGGGTTGATTGGTTGAGCAGGGTTTGAGCAATGTCACACACAAATCATCATTTTGGCAAGGGAAAAACGATCCAGTTGCTAACCAGATGGGGACTGTTTCATAATCCCTCGTAGTTACCTTCAACCCACTTAAACTCAAAGTAGTGTTCTTCTTGCCTGAAGCTAGTGAAGCGCTCGTGTTGCTCTCACATTTGTCCAGTACACCAATGTCTTTTTCCTTCAGGGATCTTCTCCACATCACCTACCAAAAGCCTATTTGGAACTCACTTGGGCTTTACATGGCAAACATGAGAGGGGCCAGAGCTATCTCAGCTTCTACTTAGCACAGACCAGTCCAAGGCCAGGTATCAGCACTCGGTGCTGTTGGAAGGGCCCGCAGCCTCTCTTGTGCCACAGCAGCTCAGCCCTGCTGCCCTGGTGTCACCCGCAGAGCCCTGTCCTGCAGACACAAGGCAGGTGGGTTGTTTTCAGTTTCCAGGGAAAACACAACCCTTACTCTCTACGGACTGGTCTCTTCGTCTTTGCATTTCACACTTGACACTATTGCCAGTGTTTACTGAACATCACTTGGCTTCACGTACAGCTGAGCACGCACATGTTTCTACTCTCCCACCACACCCCACCCACTCAGCAAGTCCCCCGGGAAACAGCACGGAACAGCTGTGTAGCTCCAGAAGCATGTTGCAGTGTGCAGAGACACGTCTTGGGCAGCTCTAGCTTTGGTGATTGCAGGACAGCTTTCCCCGGCCGTTTGCCAAAGGTGAACATTCCCATGCAGCGTAATCCTCTCGGTCTCTTCCAGGTTATCAGATGCAGAGCTGCTGTTGCCTGGGCCGCGGGCAAACCACTCTCTGTCGAGGAGGTGGAGGTTGCACCTCCAAAGGCAGGTGAAGTCCGGATCAAGGTAAAAAGACGCTTCAAAAATTTTTTCTCCCTTGTGGGAATTGCATGTCGTGTGGCTGTAATTTGGATATAACCCAGGAACCCATATAATAAGGCCTGGGGTCAGCCCACAGGCCTTAACTGTCCAGAGAAATTCTGTGGAAAATCCTTCCACAAACTCAGTTAAACTGAGGCCTGGGCTATTTCTGAAGTTCTTCTTCTACTCTTTCCCCTCCAAACAGATTGTGGCCACTGGCATCTGTCACACAGATGAACATGTTTTGAAAGGTTGCTTTCCTAATGTGGAATTCCCAGTTATCCCAGGCCACGAAGGAGCTGGGATTGTGGAAAGTGTTGGAGAAGGAGTGACCTCTATGAAACCAGGTATTCAACATACACACGGACACATGCCCACGAGTCAGCCACGAAAGTGGGTGAGGCTGCCAAGAGCTCAGAAACTTCCCCCTCTTCCTGAGTCAGTGGCTCGAAATCTGAGTGCAGACTCATTGCACTGGACTGTCACTTTCCTGGTCCGTTCCTCATGTACACGAGTGGAGCTTAGAGCATTTCATCCTGACAGAGAAAGGGGAGGGTTTGTGGTGGGTTACTGCAATCGGCATGCTCAGCAGAGGTGCTCCAACAGGCAGCACCCTCAGGGCATGCTTAGCAAGAGGTACTGAAAAGCAATCTACTTCCTTGCAGGAGACAAAGTGATACCCCTTTGCCTCCCTCAGTGTGGGGAATGCAGCTTCTGTCTGAATCCTGAATCCAATTACTGCCTGAAATGCCAGTGAGTTTGCTTCACCTGCCCCTACACCTACATGGTGTAGCTGTCTGATAACAAGTCTGACATCCCCATCAGAGCTTTAGTCAATGAAATACTAATGATTTCACCTCTCCACAGTTTCTCTGAACATCAAAACCTCCTGCCTGACAAGACCACCCGGTTCACTTGCAAAGGGAAGCAGATCCACCATTTCATGTGGGTCAGCACCTTTGCAGAATACACCGTGGTCCCAGAGTACGCTGTGGCCAAGATAGATCCTGCAGCACCTCTGGACAAAGTCTGCTTGCTCGGCTGTGGGTTTTCCACAGGCTATGGGGCTGCCCTCAACAACGCCAAGGTTGGTGTTCAGGCATGTCAAGCACCCCGAGGCTGCCCTCACACCCTCACCAACCCCTCTCCTACTCCTCCCCCTCACGCTGGAGACTCACAGGACCTCGTGCCATGCAGGTAAAGCCAGGCTCCACCTGTGCCATCTTCGGCCTCGGAGGAGTTGGCCTCTCTGTCGTCATGGGCTGCAAGGCAGCTGGAGCTTCCCGCATCATTGCCGTGGATATCAACAAGGACAAGTTTGCCAAGGCCAAGGAGCTGGGAGCCACCGACTGCATCAACCCTCGCGACTACAAGAAGCCCATCCAGGAGGTGCTCACTGAGATGACAGGACAGGGTGTGGACTACTCCTTTGAGGCCATTGGCTATGCAGAAACCATGGTAGGTGGCCTTTCAGCACGTGTCTTCCCTCCCAGGCTGCCATCAGGGAAAAAGTCACCCAGGTGGAAGTTCCTTGCCTGCTGCCTGCACTGCTGGGCACACCTTTGTGAGAGAAAGCAGTGTACAGGTCCCTGAAAGAGGCCCTGAGCTCTCCATGTCTTCTGCACACGGGAGGAGGTGTTGTCAGATTACCAGGGAGGGCCAGATGACAGCTCAGAAAGAACACTCTCCTGACCAACTCGCCAGTGCTTTCTCTAACTCACCTCCCTGTCCCATCAGATTGCTGCCCTGGCTTCCTGCAATATGAGCACTGGCGTTTGTGTGATGGTTGGGGTACTGGATTCCGGTTCAGAGATTTCCGTCGATCCTACTCTTCTGCTGACTGGGCGTACATGGAAGGGGTCAGCACTTGGAGGTATGAAACTTAAGAAAACATTTTAGAAATTTCAGCTTTTGCTGTCATGGCAGCTTACAGGCATACTAAAAGGGGGTTTTCAAGAAAAAGTGAACTGAAGAGGAGCACTGCATTAAACAGTAGCATTAAAAATGCTAATAGAAATGCTCATAAACCTGTATGGTTCATACTGTATAACACGTACAATTGTCTACGCTATCCCACCCATCCCAAAGAGGGGAAATTACCACAGAAGAGAGTGGCACCCGTACTGGTCCCTCAGTGCTGACCCTCACAGTAACACTCCATTCCCAAAACAGCATTTCTCCCATTAGTCACTGAAGCTCCTTTCTCTTGTTTCTAGGCTGGAAGACGAGAGATTGTATCCCCAAATTAGTTTCCAGCTATTTGGAGAAGAAATTCAATTCAGACTTGCTGATCACACACACGCTGCCCTTCGCTAAAGTGAACGAGGGATTTGAGTTGTTACGTGCAGGAAAGAGGTGAGCTCTCACTAGGAGGAGCGAGGCACAGCAAACACCACCTCCTCCTAAAAGTCAAACAGCCCAGATGCTCTGGCAGGCAGAACATGCAACACTGTTCTTCTCAAAAATCACCTGAGCCTTTTGAGGAAGCAGGGCCTGGAGCCAAGTGTGGGGACAATCTGCCATAACCCAGAGGGAAGAGCTGACGTTCAGCACAGGGAACTCTGCAGTTCACAGTTCAGCTCCAGAGATCCCGTGTCCTTTTCACCTGAGGGGTTCCCTTCAGCAGAGTTGTGAAGGTTCCCCCAGTGCTGCACTTCTCATGCAGCTGAGTGAGGAAGAGGCTGGAGGGACAGAAGGCAGCCGGTCCCCAGGCACACCTGCCGATCCCTCTGCCTTCTCCTGAACCGCAGCAACCTCTAAACCCTCCCTTCCCTTCCACTTTTCAGTATTCGCAGCGTCCTGCTCTTCTGAGGGACACGGCCATGGAAAGCTGAGAGGAGGGACCAGCCCAGCAGATGCTCTCCTGGCCCATGCCCTTCTAAATCAGCCTCACCTTGTGGGGCACAAGAAGATGAGAAGAAGGAACTTGCCTATGCTGGTCTTGCTGCTGCTCTTCCTGTGCCCAGACAAGACCCAGAAGGATCCCTCTTCTGAGAAAACGCTTTTACCAATAAAGGGTTTCAGTCAAACTCATCTCATGCAGTGCACTCAATCAACAGAGGTCCCACGGGGCAGGAGGAGCTCCTCCTCATCCCACAGGCCCTTCCACCACAGCCCTGGTCTCAGCAGTGAGCAACTGCCTTTGCCCCTCCACTGCCACTGCCGCCCACCTTCACCCGCCTCAGACAGCTCTGTCCCCATCTCTGTCACGCCTCTCTGTCCCCATCTCAGCTGGGTGAATGCTGCAGCTTCAACCAAAGTCCAGCAGAGAAACCACCACTCCTGCTGCTGTTCCTGCTGCTGCCGCTCTCTGGTCTCACTTGCAGAACCACAGTGTGTTCTGCTACTTGAAGTTATCCCCACACAAAACCTGTCACTCCAGCACCTTGCATTTAAACATCAGGTTTTCTTATCACTTCACCTTGTACTAGTCTCTCCTAATGTTTCCTTCCTCAATTCATATTTGGCCTCTTTAGACCCTTTTGCCTCCTGATCTCAGTCTGGTGGCTTTTCTCCTGACCTAGTTTTGTTCTGGATAACAACCTCAGAGAAATTTACAGACTAGAATCGGGAAGAGAAATTACATGTGCATTTATGTCCCACCTTATGTAAATGTGGGTGCTAGAGGTACTATACCTAGCCTTTCAGAAACTATAAAGCAAAATTCCTCCTTACATGGCAGCATGAAATTCTGTGGGAGCTACCAGAAACACAACCAGTTTGGCAACTAAATTTGTTCTGTGCACAAAAGGTAATTATTATGGCTCTCTTCCAATTTGAGATATTCTAGGATTCTATCATTCTGGGATAGAATGGACTCACAATCAGCAGTGGCTGTAGGAGTCCTGCCCTCTATTAAACATAGTTTCCCCCTCTACCATTCTCCTTCACTAGAGTGAACAGAATCAACTGATTTTTTAAATAGACCTTTATCAATATTTTTGTTATGTCTCTTCAATGTAAAATACATCAGGGTGGATCCAACTCTCGCATTCCTTACCTCATTTGACTCGTGCCCCTTTCATTTTGTATCAGCTATACACTATTTCTTGTCCTACTGGAGATGAAAGGAACAGGGCATCTTAGAGAACAGTGAATTATCAATCCTGCTAACAAATGCAGGATAGGATTTAGTTTGTCCTTCACAGTAGAATGTAAAAATGGTCTCTGGAACCAATGCCCAGGTACACTGAAGAAAAAAACTTCATGCTGAGTCATTAATAAAGGCATTAATATCTACCTTTGGCTTTTAATTAAAAGTTATGGGGGCTTGAAACTGCTGCGGGGTTGGGGGGAGGGGAAGATTAATAGTGTTGAATGGAGATACACAGTATCCAGTATTAAAAAGTTAATCATTAAATCCATGTCTGCTGACATACAAGTTTGATTTTATTTTCCCTCTATCAAATGGATAAGGAAAAAAAAAACAACCTCTCCTGTCTTAAGTATACACAAAGCTGCACAGCAGCAGGATCTCACTATCAGGTCCCTGCCATAATCACACACATTTCAAATGCTTTGCAGAGCCAGACCCATGGCTCTTCAAACTGCAAGCAGGGCAGACGGCAACTCTGTGTTGTCTTCACATCAGTCTTGGCTTTGCAAGTTTGATGGACTAGAGCATCACACGGATGTTTGAAGGAGAGCTAATATTGCACCTTTGAGAGACCTTTGTACACCATTTTTTGAGGTTATAAACTCAACAGCAGATACTAGACATGTCTTAACGGCTGTGAAATACATGTAGCACTGTTCCCGTTTACGTCCTTATGTGGGAGATGAAAACATAAGCCAATGTAGGGAATGTTATCTAGGAAGCAGTTGAATGATTTCAGTATCTGTTACAGTTCTTTTAAAACTTTTTGGTTTAATCTTTGAACCCTTCCAGTCACCCAGGATAGATCAGCCATAGAGCATTTGTCGTCTGGAATTGCTTTCCAACTCTTGTGCAATGTAGAAAATGGATTGGTCATCAAAGCCAACCAAACTATGGTTCAAAAGCTGTGTAAAGGTTGCCTGCCTGAACCTCCAAAAGAGTATTTTTGTTTTAGGCTAATCAGTTAAATCATTCCACTTTCAGAGTGAAATGAAGCTTGCAAAGCACATGAAAATACATGAAAATCCTGGAGAAGAACCATATCTTTGCTCCACCAGATCTGTTGGTTGAACTGATAAGAAAACAGGCATGAAAAAGAGTCGTTTAGAATAGATTTTAGGAAAACAGTCTTTTACTCTGTTCCAGTGGTCAGGCACTGGAACAGGTTGCAGAGAAGTTGTGGATGCCCCATATCTGGAAGTATTCGAGGCCAGTTGGATGGAGCTCTGAGCAGTCTGGCCTAGTGAAAGGTGTTCCTGCCCATAGCAAAGAGGTTGAAACTAGCTGATCTTTAGGGTCCCTTCCAACCCAAACCATTCTGAGATTCTCTGATTCTATGAAGGACATCAGAATCACCTGTAGAGCAGGGTGTCCTAAGCATGAGTATGTAGAGTAATGCCATCCTGATTCATGAATGCTGCATTTTTTTATGATCACATCTAATGTTTTTGCATCCTAAAGTCAAGAGGTGTCTTTTGATTTAAAAAAAAAAATATAAAAATCAATATATGTATAATCTTGTTCAACAGCTAGAGAGTTAAGTTCCACTCATTACAGCATTCTAAAAAGCTCCTGATTCAAGAAGGCTTTTTATTTCATTAGTGGTAGTCTTCCTGGAAATTATCCCATTCCCCAGGTATACAAATGCATCCTTTCAAGGCACAGAGGAGGATTCCTTCCTAACCATGGAGGTTACATCACCCTCAGGATGTTCATCTTAGCTGGGTTCTCCAAATGCTCTTATTCATCCAGTCTTCCCTATAAATCCCCTTGTCCAGTGCCTCAGCAGAAAACAGCTCTGTGGGAACCCAGAGAGCTTGGGGAGAGTGAACCACTCACAGACCTGGTTACATTTCAGTGAAACAAATGTGTCCTTGGAAAACAATCCCTTCCTTACACATTGTCCCCCACTACTCAGGTGAAAACTGCTGCAACAGCATACACAGTAGAACTTCACTCCAGAAGCACATGAGTGTTTGTACGTCACATCGTGTTTTCACTACCGTTTTTCTTTTCTTTTTTTTTTTTTCCTTTGAATTTTTAATCCTTTAGCAAATACCTTGGTGTGAATGGCCACCAGGTCAAATGCTCTGCCTTGGCAACAAGGGGACTCCAAGGAAGCCCCAGCAGTGTTGCAAATCTCCTCGCTCCACACCTGCCAGAAAGCAACTGGAGAAAAAAAACCCTTCCTATGCTCTCTGTGCCTTTCAGGCAGGGAGAGCAAGGAATGGCCCAAGGGCAGTCACTGATAAAAGCACCCCTGAAGGACTTCTGCCCTCATCCATCTCCCAGCCACTGTCCAGCTCCTCCCCTCAGCACTCCCTGTGCTCCTCAGCAGCTGATACAGATTAACCAGAGCCCCCTGCTCTCCAGTGACGGTGCCACACACAGAGTTCTCCAGCTCCACAGCTGGGGAACTTCACAACACAGAGCTTCAGCCAGACAGGCAGCAGCTTCCCTCCAGCCTGATACAGCAACGGGAACACCTCTGCTAAGACCACATGGCCACGTCGGGAAAAGTAAGGACAATGCCTTTCCCATCTTCCTTTCCCTGCTGCCCTGCTCTTGGGGAAATACTCTGCCATGGCTCAGTCTGTGCACTGCTACTGCATGCCCTCTCTCCTCTCACCTACCTCCCCCAGCTCTTCCAAACCCCTTGGAATTACACAAGCTTCTGCTTTCCGACAACTGCACCTGTCAGTACGTGCCTTAGGTAGTGCATTTCTCCTCTGTCCTGCCCACCAGCTCAGGAATGAGATCCTGACTTGTACTGCTCTGGAAAACACCCTCCTGCTCAATCCCACTCTGCACTCCTGCTTTGGCAAGAAATGTACCTCTTCAGTGGTGCCGCTTTGCAGCCACTCCTCTCCTGCATTCAACTTGTCCATGGCAATACCCTTTGAATCTGCAAGCTCCATTTTGCTGATGTCAAACCAGGTTTGGGTTGATTGGTTGAGCAGGGTTTGAGCAATGTCACACACAAATCATCATTTTGGCAAGGGAAAAATGATCCAGTTGCTAACCAGATGGGGGCCGTTCCATAACCCCTCTCATTTTCCTTCAGCCCAGTGTCTTACAAGGCTGACATCAAAGCTCTTAGTAGGCATTGCCACTAGGTAGGGTCCACAGTCACCATGAGAGCCCAGTCTGTCCATTAACATATGACAATGTTAGGAAAAATCCCCTGGAGCCCTTAAAGCCCAATAATTTTCTAAGGTTATACCTGATACTCTTTGCGTGACAAAGCACAGATGGTTTTCCCTCAGACCCCAAACTAGGCCAGTGTTTACTGAGTATCACTTGGCTTCAGGTGAAGCTGAGCAGTACCCAGTTTGTCCACCTCTAGTTTAGATGCTTGCAGGGTGACTGTCCCCCCCGTGTGCTAAAGGAAAATGTTCCCATGCAGCATAATCCTCTTGGTGGCTTCCAGGTTATCAGATGCAGAGCTGCTGTTGCCTGGGCTGCAGGACACCCACTCTCTATTGAGGAGGTGGAGGTTGCACCTCCAAAGGCAGGTGAAGTCCGGATTAAGGTAAAAATTCATTCCTCTTATGTTTTTTCTCCCTTGTGGATATTGGTCTTCTTGTGGCTTGGATATAACCTTGGATATAACTCAGGGATCTGTGTCTGCCAGAAGGCTTTAACTGTCCAGAGCTGCCTTAGCTCAAAGGCACCATCTGACAGGGCCTCTGTTGCAGACTAGTCTTTGCCCAAGCTGTTGCATAGAAATTCCTTCTCCAGCCCATGCTCTGCTTGGACTGACCCCTGGGATCCACAGTGTGGCCTCCTCTCCAGTCCCACCTCCATCTTAGTCCAGAGGAAAACCCCACGGAGCATTCAGCATGAGGAGAAGGGAAAGCCCAGCCTGGGCACGGTGGGCTGCCATGGAGTGGCAGCACTGATTGTGGGGGCACCATGACACCCTGGGAAAATTCCTTCCACACACTGAGTAAGTCAGAGGTGAGGTCACCAACCCTTTCCTCTCCAACCAGCTTGTGGCCACAGGCATCTGCCGCACGGATGAACACCTCTTGCAAGGCTGCTTTCCCAAAGCGGAATTCCCAGTTATCCCAGGCCACGAAGGAGCTGGAATTGTGGAAAGCATTGGAGAAGGAGTGACCTCTGTGAAACCAGGTAACCGACACACACACAGACACATGCTCAGGATTCAGCTCTCCTACAGGCAGCACCCTCAGGGGTCTGCCCAGAGAGGGGCACCTAGCAAGGGATATATGTTCTTCCAGGTGATAAAGTCATTCCCCTTTGCCACCCTCAGTGTGGGGAATGCAGCTTCTGTCTGAATCCTGAATCCAATTTCTGCCAGAAGTCCCAGTGAGTTTGCTTCATTTTCCCCTACACCTACATGGGGTTGGCTGTCTGACAACAAGCCTGACACCCCCATCAGAGCTTTAGTCAATGAAATACTAATGATTTCACCTCTCCACAGTTTCTCTGAACAACAAAACCTCCTGCCTGACAAGACCACCCGGTTCACTTGCAAAGGGAAGCAGATCCACCACTTCCTGTGGGTCAGCACCTTTGCAGAATACACCGTGGTCCCAGAGTACGCTGTGGCCAAGATAGATCCTGCAGCACCTCTGGACAAAGTCTGCTTGCTCGGCTGTGGGTTTTCCACAGGCTATGGGGCTGCCCTCAACAACGCCAAGGTTGGTGTTCAGGCGTGTCAAGCACCCCGAGGCTGCCCTCACACCCTCACCAACCCCTCTCCTACTCCTCCCCCTCACGCTGGAGACTCACAGGACCTCGTGCCATGCAGGTAAAGCCAGGCTCCACCTGTGCCATCTTCGGCCTCGGAGGAGTTGGCCTCTCTGTCGTCATGGGCTGCAAGGCAGCTGGAGCTTCCCGCATCATTGCTGTGGATATCAACAAGGACAAGTTTGCCAAGGCCAAGGAGCTGGGAGCCACCGACTGCATCAGCCCTCACGACTACAAGAAGCCCATCCAGGAGGTGCTCACTGAGATGACAGGACAGGGCGTGGACTACTCCTTTGAGGCCATTGGCTATGCAGAAACCATGGTAGGTGGCCTTTCAGCACGTGTCTTCCCTCCCAGGCTGCCATCAGGGAAAAAGTCACCCAGGTGGGAAGTTCCTTGCCTGCTGCCTGCACTGCTGGGCACACCTTTGTGAGAGAAAGCAGTGTACAGGTCCCTGAAAGAGGCCCTGAGCTCTCCATGTGTCCTGCACAAGGGAGGAGGTGTTGTCAGATTACCAGGGAGGGCCAGATGACAGCTCAGAAAGAACACTCTCCTGACCAACTCGCCAGTGCTTTCTCTAACTCACCTCCCCGTCCCATCAGATTGCTGCCCTGGCTTCCTGCAATATGAGCACTGGCGTTTTTGTGATGGTTGGGGAATTGGATTCCGGTTCAAAGATTTCCGTCGATCCTACTCTGCTGCTGACTGGGCGTACATGGAAGGGGTCAGTGCTTGGAGGTATGAAACTTAAGAAAACATTTTAGAAATTTCAGCTTTTCCTGTCATGGCAGCTTACGAGGCATACTAAAAGGGGGTTTTCAAGAAAAAGTGAACTAAAGAGAAGCACTGCATTTCCACTGCATTAAACATTAGCATTAAATATGCTAATAAACCTATAACTGATTCATCAAGTACAACACACAGAACTGTCTCCACTATCCAACTTCTCCCACAGAGAAGAGAATATCTCACAAGAGAGCAGAACTGGTACTGGTCCCTCAGTGCTGACCCTCACAGTAACACTCCATTCCCAAAACAGCATTTCTCCCATTAGTCACTGAAGCATCTTTTCTCTTGTTTCTAGGCTGGAAGATAAGAGATTCTATCCCCAAATTAGTTTCCAGCTATTTGGAGAAGAAATTCAATTCAGACTTGCTGATCACACACACGCTGCCCTTCGCTAAAGTGAACGAGGGATTTGAGTTGTTACGTGCAGGAAAGAGGTGAGACCCTCACTAGGAGGAGCGAGGCACAGCAAACACCACCTCCTCCTAAAAGTCAAACAGCCCAGGTGCTCTGGCAGGCAGAACATGCAACACTGTTCTTCTCAAAAATCACCTGAGCCTTTTGAGGAAGCAGGGCCTGGAGCAAAGTGTGGGGACAATCCTGCTCGTGGTTCAGCTCAACAGAGATCCTGCAAGCCCAGCACTGAGGCCAGCATAGACCCCCAGACATAACTCCATTATGTCAGGGACTGTTGGAAAGAACAGGACTGACAACAGACAGTCAGAAGGAAGGGCAATCCTTAGAAACAACAGCAAAAAGCCAGAAGAGGAAAGAATGTATCTTACAGCAGCAACACCAGAGATTTGGGGAGGGAAAAAGGGCCGCAGCACACTTGCCCTACTGCAGCATGTCTCATGCAGCTGAGTGAGGAAGAGGCTGGAGGGACAGAAGGCAGCCGGTCCCCAGGCAGACCTGCCGATCCCTCTGCCTGCTCCTGAACCACAGCAACCTCTAAACCCTCCCTTCCCTTCCACTTTCCAGTATTCGCAGCGTCCTGCTCTTCTGAGGGACACAGCCATGGAAAGCTGAGAGGAGGGACCAGCCCAGCAGATGCTCTCCTGGCCCACGCCCTTCTAAATCAACCTCACCTTGTGGGGCACAAGGAGACGAGAAGAAGGAAGTCGCCTACGCTGGTCTTGCTGCTGCTCTTCCTGTGCCCAGACAAGACCCAGAAGGATCCCTCTTCTGAGAAAACGCTTTTACCAATAAAGGGTTTCAGTCAAACTCATCTCATGCAGTGCACTCAATCAACAGAGGTCCCACGGGGCAGGAGGAGCTCCTCCTCATCCCACAGGCTCTTCCACCTCAGCCCTGGTCTCAGCAGTGAGCAAGTGCCTTTGCCCCTCCACTGCCACGGCCTCCCACCTTCACCCACCTCAGACAGCTCTGTCCCCATCTCTGTCACGCCTCTCTGTCCCCATCTCAGCTGGGTGAATGCTGCAGCTTCAACCAAAGTCCAGCAGAGAAACCACCACTCCTGCTGCTATTCCTGCTGTGGCCACTCTCTGGTCTCACTTGCAGGACCACAGTGTGTTCTGCTACTTGAAGTTATCCCCACACAAAACCTGTCACTCCAGCACATTTCAGCCTTTCCTAATAGGAGAGATACTCCAGGCTGCTAATCATGGCCCTTTGCTGGACTTGTTCTTGTCATACTCTTCCTTAATATGACTTTTTCTGTGTCAAGAGCAATTTAGGAAAAAGCAAGGGAAGAAAACTTTCCCAAATTTCTCTTCTGCATTAGGGTAGTTTCTATGGGGATTCAAAAAAGCTCCTGAGCCAAGCAATTTAATGAACGTCTTCAAGGCCTGCCAAAGAAGAGCAGTGCCACTAAGCTGATAAACAGCCCACAGTGATAGGATTGCCCAAAACCCTAATGGAACAGGAACATCTGAAGACTGTAAGTGAATAATACACATATCCAGGTTCCTTATCACCATTGGTTTGTGTTTGTGGGTTGGGCTTTTTTCTTTCCTTTAAATCAAATTTTCACGATTGATATTCTTTGTTGCAGCAATCAAACTGTCCTTGTTTTTTTTAAGGACTGATCTCAAATTTTTGAAGATTATCACTTGAAGTTAAATCTTATTTTTGGCTGGTCTTACTATTTAACAAAATTATTTAATATTTCATAAATATGTATTAAAAATGAATGTATATTTAATAAAGTGCAGCTCACACAAATATGGAATGGTTAGCATTGAAAAGAAAGAAGGGACAGTAATTAGAACTATACTATTTGAAGCATATTATATAAAGCAGGAGATAACTTTCTTATTATTGTGTAACTCTTATACACGCATACACAGATGTGGTTTCATTTTGGAAAATGCTGTTGTACTTTTTAATATATTTCCAGGACCCACTTCCATAGAATATTACAGTACAACTATGCAAAATCTTCCCCAGAGAACAAGACTGTCACTCCAAGCCAGTCATTCTGCCAAATGGACCCTTCTTTCGGTGCTGAACATTGGACCCATAACACTACAATGCCTTTTGACCTCTTTTAGGCAACTCTTATCCCAGCCCATAGCCCTTTGAGCTTTTGGAAACCTCTTAGCACAATCAGCAGTTGCTCGGCATATCATAAATGCACAAACGAATTTTCAAAGGTTAACAAATCCCATCCTGCCAAATTATAGTAACTGCACATATCGCTTTGCCATGATATAAAAGTTACCTATAATTCTCTTAACTACTTTTTAAACATAAAACTATAACTGCAGGTAAGGAGATAACACCAAAATAAATCAATAGATGTTAATTAATTAAGCTCTAGCACTTACCTACTGAGAAAACACCGCAAGAAGTTTCTTCCAATAAACAATGTTTCCCTAACACTGCACGTGCATCTGCAGAGTCTTAATTTTATGTGAGTGACAAGTCTTGAAAAAAGTAATCAATTAGCCTAGTATTTGTGTAATAAATATAAACACATATAAATAGATCTGTGCAGGATCGGCACCCAAAAAAAAAAAAAATCCGTTTTTTGAAAAAACTTCCAAACTTAGACGATACAAAATTCGATCGCTATAAAATAACTCTGCCTTAAGTCAATTGTAACTTGCACTTTATCAATTATTTCGCCCTGTTGCTACACGAGCTCTGTCGCTATAGCAGGGCCACCTGGTGGCCGCCTGTCCCCGCTCTCTGGGCACTGTCCCAAATTATGTTTGAAAGCAAAGGCATGTATGCACACCAAAAGAAAATCCTGTCAAGTGCAAAGAGGTGACAGCATAACCCTTTCCCCATTTTTACCTTTCAAATTTTCCTTGCATTATTTTAATACTAGCATATTAGAATCAGCATATATTAGATCAGCTTTTTTGTGTTTTATTTGATTTTCAATGAAAGCAGATACCTGAGAATATTTAATCACAAAACTCCCCAAATTACTTATTTCTATATCTAAAATATTAAAAATCTTGCAGTATCCCAGCTTCATGTGTTTACTGCTAAACTTTCATGGTCACTATCACACTTATTTTGAATTCATCTAATTAATATAGGCCTTTGTTTTGAAATGTTATTTTACTCTACTATACAGAATGATAGTGGGGTTAATTAGTGACATTATTCCTAAAATTTTTCCCTTGGAACCAACCATTTCTTGAATTATCAGATAATATTTTAAATGTATATTTGTGTTTACAAAACCAGGGTAAATTAATTTAACTAATTTAATTAATTTAATTAATTAAAATATCCAAGAAAATATCAGCCAGTTTTGAGCATTTTTGGACTTAGTCTCACACTGCATCAAGGGAGGTTTAGGTTGGACTTTAGGATTAATTTCTTTACAGAAATGGTGATTAAACATTGAAACGGCTGCCCAGGGAGGTGGGGGAGTCACCAGCTCTGGAGGTGTTTAAGAAAAGACTGGAGTGGCATGTAGTGCCATAGTCTAATTGACAGGGTGGTGTTTTAGTCATAGGTTGGTCTCAATGATCTCAGAGGTCTTTTCCAACCTAATTGATTCTGTAATTCTAAATTAAAACAATTTTGATTTTTAAATGTTTCCATTTTTCAACCAGCTATATTTATACTTCAAAAAAAATAAGTTTATGCTGACTTGAAGAATGAAAAGAATTTCTACCTTTTTTTTTTTTTTATGCTACGCAAGTATGATCCTCTGGTACTTCACAGAAAAATCTAGGAAATTAAATCAGAATTCAAAAGACTGGTTTGGAGAAACAGACGACATCCTCCAAGCAAGAACATGATTGCCAGGGCTCTCTCCTACATGTGCTCTCACAGTGCTTCCAAGCCCTCCTTTTTTCTCAGTCCAAATTGGTGTTCCCAGTTAGCACCTAGCATCTGCTAAAACAACATCAAAACCAACACAATGCAAAATCCAGAGCAGCACTGGGAGCCCTCGCCTACAGAACTTCTGTACATAAACCTGAAACACACGTGACACAGCATGAATAGCTCAGTCAAGAGCACAGAATGGTAACTTGATTTAAGTGCAAGGTGCTGAGAGCAGAAAGAAAGTTGCAAAACCACTTCCTGTGTCCAGGGGCTTCCAATAGTACACAGCAACACTGGAGGCAGCATTACAAAACTGCAAAGGAAAGAAAAATGAAAACCAACCCCTTTAATTGCTGAAATTGGACAGTGAGCATTAAAGAGTCATGATTCATGTATCTGTCCCTACCAAAATCAGTGCCTGCAATTTCCAGAACATCAAAGATACTAACAAAAGCAGAGCATCTGCAGAGTTTAGCTAAACATAAAATGCTGGGAGACTTTTTGGAAGCACTGACAAACCAGGTGTGGCCAAGGGCACAAAATTCACAGGAGAGGTTGGCAGAACTGTATTTAACCAAGGAAACGGACAAGGCCTGCTATGATTTCAACAACAAGGATTTGGTGGTAGGCCATGAACACAAACTGAAGAAGCCACTGGAAGCCTCAAGGCAATGGGACAGATAGCCTGATCACACATCCTTTCATTCCTTCTCAATATCTTTCACCATATGCAAAACCTATATAATACTCTTATTGCCCAAATTACATTCCAGCTCAGTGTCAGCTTTCCTGAGCCTACACATTTAGATTGTAATTTCAGTTATGATATTAAACTTTATGTTATTTTTATGTTATTTAATAAATGCTATAGTTATGTTTAAATTAAAGTTTAATTTTTCCCAAGCTGGGGCTATTGTCTAACTGTGGTATTTTGCTAAGCTTTGTTAGTGTGCCACTGGGAAATAAAAATTCCATTTCTTACTGAGGGGGACTTGGTTATACTCTTCAATTCCTCAACCAACCAGTACCTCTTGTGTAAAATCCCAACAGCCCATGGCAGAATCATTCCCCTGATCTTACACACCCATGTCTGCAGACCTCACAAGAAGCCTTTCCTACCCTGCTGGGACGAAGAAGGTTCTTCAGAAAATTAAACAACAGTGTGAGCAGTTTAACAATCCCGTGTTGTAGAAATAGCCCTTTGCTTCAAAGGCTGCCATATGCAATGTCAAGAGGCCCAGCCAAATCTTCCATCTCACTGCAGATCCCTTAGCCCGGCCTGGAAAGGGGCTGTCTTCACCCAGTTTGGAAACACACTGCTGCCCAGTAAAGCCTCCAGCACTGCAGTTCAGCCAGCCCGGAACAGATTTAGGTGCAAAAGACCTGCAATGGAGACACGGGCAGCTCCCACCTGTGTCCAGGTGAGATCCACAGGAGGTGCCAAGCATCTCCAGAGTGGGACTGCCCCGCAGAGGCAAGGCAGGCACATGCACGCACGGCTGAGTTCCTCGGGGAATGCCGCAGGGGGGGCACATGACCTCCCGTTACTCGGGAAGAATCTGGGCAACCTGGAAAGGATGACGAAAGGAAAAGGGGACAGGGAAAGGAAAGAAGCGAACTGAGGGAGGGAAGGAGGGGCCACTTCCTTCGACCGCTCCGGGGAGAGAGGCGGGAGAGAGGGAGGCGGGAGAGAGGGAGGCGGGCCCCCCTTCCCCTTCCGCCGGCAGCCCGATCCGTGCGCGATGGCGAGCGGGGTAAGGAGTCTGGTGGGGCTCTATGGTGGGAATGTCGCCCGGGGTGCCGCGGGGGCTGCCGCGCAGGGCAGGATGAGGCGGGCGAGCCGAGCCCTGCCCTGCCCTCCGTGCCGGTGCCCGGCCGTGCCGGGGGGCTGCCCTCGGCCGGGGCTGCGGGCCCTGCCCGCCCTGCCCGCCCCGGCGCTGCCGCCAGCGGGAGCCGGGACACGGGTGTGT